AAAAATTCAAAATGATGTTCCATACAGCAGAAGAATACAGAAAAATTCAAAATGATGTTCCATACAGCAGAAGAATACAGAAAGATTCAACATGATGATCAATACAGTGCAGGAATACATAAAGATTCAACATGATGTTCAATACAGTGCAGGAATACATAAAGATTCAACATGATGTTCAATACAGTGCAGGATTACAGAAAGATTCAACATGATGTCCAATACAGTGGAAGAATACAGAAAGAATCAACATGATGTCCAATACAGTGGAAGAATACAGAAAGATTCAACATGATGTTCCATAAAGCAGACGAATACAGCAAGATTCAATGTGGTGTTCATTACAGCAAAATTTATTGTGATGTTCCATACAGAAGAAGAATAAAACAATATTTAATATATGCCATACAGCAGAAGAATACAGCAAGATTAAAAATCATGTTGCATAAAAATGAAAAATATAGCAAAATTCAACATGATGTTCCATATAGCAGAAGAATACAGCAATGATTAAACATAATATTCCATAGAAAAGAAGAATAAATCAAGATTCAATATGATATTCTATACAGCAGAAGAATAAAGCAAGATGCAAATACAGCAGAATAATACAAAAAGATTCAATATGATGTTCCATACAGCAAGATTCAACATGATACCCATACAGCTGAAAAATAAAGCTAGAGTCAACATGATGTTCCAAACAGTAGAAGAATACAGCAAGATTCAACATGAAGCCCATACAGCTGAATAATACAGCAAGATTCAAGATGGTGTTCCATACAGCAGTATACAGCAAGATCCAACATGATATTCCAAACTGCAGAACAATAATACAGCAAGATTCAAGATGTTGTTCGATAAAGCAAAATTCAACATGTTGTTCCATACAGCAAGATTCAACATGATGTTCCATACAGCAGACAAATACACGGAGATTCAACAGGATGATCTATACAGCAGAGAAATACAGCAAGATACAACATGATGTTCTATATAGCAAAAGAATAAAGCAAGATTCAATATGATGCTCCATTCAGCAAGATTCAACATGATCCCACAATGCAGAAAAACAGCAAGATTCAACATGATGTTCCATACAGAAGAAGAATAAAACAAGATTTAACATATGCCATACAGCAGAAGAATACAGCAAGATTAAACATAATATTCCATAGAAAAGAAAAATAAAGCAAGATTCAACATGTTCTATACAGCAGAAGAATAAAGCAAGATTCAGTATGATGCCCATACAGCAGAAAAACAAAGATTATACATGATGTTCTTGACAGCAGAATAATACAAAAAGATTCAAAATGATGTTCCATACAGCAAGATTCAACATGATGTTCCATACAGCAGCATACAGCAAGATCCATCATGATATTCCAAACTGTAGAAGAATACAGCAAGATTCAACATGGTACCCATACAGCTGAAAAATAAAGCAAGATTCAACATGATGTTCCAAACAGCAGTACACAGCAAGATTCAACATGATGTTCAAACAGCAGTATACAGCAAGATTCAACATGATGTTCCATACAGCAAGATTCAACATGATATTCCAAACAGCAGTATACAGCAAGATCCAACATGATATTCCAAACAGTAGAAGAGTACAGCAAGATTCAACATGATATTCCATTCAGCTAAAGAATAAAGCAAGATTCAACATGATGTTACATACAGCTAAAGAATAAAGCAAGATTAACATGATGTCCATACAGCTGAAGAGAACAGCAAAATTTAACACAATGCTTCATACAAAAGAAGAATAAAGCATGATTCAGCATGATGTTCCAAACAGCGGAAGAATACAGAAAGATTTGATACAATGTTCCATAGAGCAGAAGAATAAAGCACGATTCAACATGATGTTCACACAGCTGAAAAATACTGCAAGATTCAAAATGATGTCCATACAGCTGAAGAGTACAGCAAGATTCAATAAGATGTTCCATACAGCAGAAGAATAAAGCAATAGTCAGCATGATGTTCCAAACAGCAGAAGAATACAGAAAGATTCAAAACAATGTTCCATAGAGAAGAAGGCAAGATTCAACATTATGCCCATAGAGCTGAATAATACAGCAAGATTCGAGATGTTGTTCCATACAGCAAAATTCAACATGATGTTCCAAACAGCAGAAGAATACAGAAAGATTCAAAACAATGTTCCATAGAGAAGAAGGCAAGATTCAACATTATGCCCATAGAGCTGAATAATACAGCAAGATTCGAGATGTTGTTCCATACAGCAAAATTCAACATGATGTTCCAAACAGCAGAAGAATACAAAAAGATTCAAAACAATGTTCCATATAGAAGAAAAATAAAGCAAAATTCAACATGATGTTCCATACAGCAAAATTCAACATGATGTTCCAAACAGCAGAAGAATACAAAAAGATTCAAAACAATGTTCCATATAGAAGAAAAATAGAGCAAGATTCAACATTATGCCCATACAGCAAAACTCAACATGATGTTCCATACAGCAAGACTTAACATGATGTTCTATGCAGCAAGACTTAACATGATGTTCCATACAGCGAGACTTAACATGATGTTCCATACAGCGAGACTTAACAAGATGTTCCATACAGTAGATAAACACATGAAGTTTCAACAGGATGATCTATACAGCAAGATATAACATGATGTTTAATGCAGCAGAAGAATAAAACAAAATTGAACATGATACCCATAAAGCTGAAAAATACAGCAAGATTCAACATGATGCCCATACAGCAAAATTCAAAATGATGTTCCATACAGCAGAAGAATACAGAAAGATTCAACATGATGATCAATACAGTGCAGGAATACAGACAGATTCAACATGATGTCCAATACAGTGGAAGAATACAGACAGATTCAACATGATGTTCAATACAGTGGAAGAATACAGACAGATTCAACATGATCTTCAATACAGTGGAAGAATACAGCAAGATTAAACATGACGTTCAATACCGTGGAAGAATACAGCAAGATTCAACATGATGTTCAATACCGTGGAAGAATACAGCAAGATTCAACATGATGTTCAGTACCGTGGAAGAATACAGCAAGATTCAACATGATGTTCAATACCGTGGAATAATACAGCAAGATTCAACATGATGTTCAATACAGTGGAAGAATACAGCAAGATTCAACATGATGTTCAATACAGTGGAAGAATACAGCAAGATTCAACATGATGTTCAATACAGTGGAGAATACAGAAAGATTGAACATGATGTTTCATACAGCAAGATTCAACATGATGTTCCAGACAGCAAATGAATATCAGGAGATTAAAGATGATACTCCACAAAGCAAATAAATGTGACATTCATGATTTTTTTAGACAGCAGATGATTGTTAAGAGATTCAAACTATTATATTCAAACATGTGCAAAAACAGTTTATTTAATTCGGACAGCCTTCTCATTCTACCAACAAGTTGTTTACCATTTTATCACCTACTCTTCTTGTCTGGTGTGATAATACATAATACAGTAGGTTAGTTTGTCATTATGCTCCAAGAGCTGTAACTACTAAAGCCACAATTCATATATTACAATCTATTATCAAGAAAACCTTGTTAAATATTTAACATATTTTAAGTTGATGTAGCCATGTATCTAAATACACATTCACAGTAGCTTCAGCTAATCTGTCCTACAGGAATAAAAGTGCAATAGTTCTATGATATAAATAGTATTGTACAGCAAAATGTCATTTTTGGTAATAACTTCATATCATAATTATGAAGTTGACATACCTGAAGTTCCTGGTAGATCTGCGATACTAAAACTGGTGGATTCTGATGTTGTGCTGTTTGGGACAGTGCACCCAACTGACGATCCAGCCACTGCTGTTTCTCCTCCACAGCCTTCCTGACCTAAAGCATTATGAGATAAACTATAGTCTACGAGTAAGTGTAAACTATCTAATGTTGCCCGAATTGTGGAATTTATAACTTATATGGTGATATTATTATGAATGAATACATTTTAATTGTCTACATAAGCTTTAAAGCCAGAATTTTAACTTTCTTATTAATTAAGATACTTTAACATCAGTTAGACTTCAATAGTTCATCCATACCAAAATAAAAAATAACCCTTGTGAACACCTGATGACAAATTTTCATCTTGTTTCCACTGTTTTAGTGACAACTAAAAACATGCATTTGTCTACAAATATAACTGCCAAGAAAATACAAGGAAGCATGAATTATGATTGCAGAAAATATTATATATTATGTCTACATGAATAAAATATTTAAACCTCAATCTTTAAAACCATCTTCTAAAGACCTCACAGAAGAAAAGTACACATCCTAAAGTTATACATTTAACACTCTTTTGTTATATACGAAGACATACAGGTCAAGTAGTAGGACATAGTGTTATGGATTTCTGTGCTCTCCCAGATATAACATATTCATGTCTAGCTTCAGTATATAATTTGGAATAATGTTCTGTCATATTTCACATCTTAATGTATAATTTCAGTATTTAATTGTCAATAACATTCTTGTATATTTAATGTCTTCATGTCTAATTTCAGTATATAATTTTGAATAATGTTCTCTCAGACTTAACACATCTTGATGTCTAATTTCAGTATATAATTGTGACTAATGTTCTCCCATATTTAACATCTTGATGTCCAACTTCAGTATATAATTATGAATAATGTTCTCCCAGATTTCAGATGTCTTCATATCTAACATCAATATGTAATTATGAATAATGTTTTTGCATATTCAAAATGTCTTGATATCTAATTTAAGTATATAATTGTGAATAATGTTCTCCCAGATATTATAACATCTTGATGTCTAATTTCATTATATTATTGTGAATAACTGATGTCTTGATAATAATTGATGTATTGATGTCTAATTTCAGTATGTTCTCTCAGATTTAAGTCATCTTGATGTCCAATTTAAGTATATAATTTTGAATAACTTCTCCCAGATTTAACGTCTTGATGACTCATTTCAGTATATAATTGTAAATAACGTTCTCTCAGTTTTAATGTCTTCATTTAAGTATATGATTGTGAATAATGTTCTCCCAGATTTAACATCTTGTTGTTCAATATTAGAATGTACTTGCAAACATCTTACCCAGAATCTCATGTCCACCATCAGAATGTATTCATCTCACTCATTGCTAAGCTTAATACTGTACACACTCCACTATCAGAATGTATTCATCTGAATTGTTGCTAAGTTTAATACTGTACACAGTCCAGCTTTAGAATGTAACCATCTGAATTGTTGCTAAGTTTAACACTACACAGAGTCCAGCTTCATTTTTAGTCTGGAAATTTGAACACAGACTTTAAATCAATCTCTAGTACTTTACAGACAAGATTCTGTGGACAAAACTATTATTAATATTAAAAATTCAAAAATCAACAATTCTGCACCATGAAAAATTTACTGCTATTACCCTGAAGTTTTAAATATATTAAAGGTTTATAATAATTTGAAAACTTTACAAGTATATTATGTTTCATAATTAAAAGTAAAACAAACACTCACTTTCTCCATTTCCTGGGCCTCAATATGAGAATACTGCTCATCATTTACTGCATACTGGTCTAGTGCCTTCCTTGTTAACTGCATTGTTCGACAGAACTGATCAATAGCTGCAGGACGTTCTTCAAACTCACGATACCGGTTAACAAGTGGCTGGCAGAGTTTCTGTACATAGAAGTTGTACGTATTACATGCAGAAAATGACAAAATAGCCTTTGAAATACATTAGTTCTACTTATTCAGTACAATAAATCACATTAAATTTATATGAGAACACCTTTACTCTTTTCAACAATTCTTTCAATATTGCTTAACCCTACCATTAAGGGCTTGGGGAGAGAGATCCACTCAGGTCATAACTATGAAAGTATCCAGGAGAGTAATTATACTATAATTTTTGATAGTGTATGTGTATTTCATATGCAAAATCTTTATAACGTAATAACCTTAACATAATTAAGATATTTTGTTTTAGAAAAAAACTTTATATTTGATCTGTTATTTTCACAACTTGTCTCTGTATGAGTTGGGTCAATTTGACAGACCTTGTAACCACCATAAAAAATTAGGAAATAAATATACAAATGTTTAGTCTAAGTAGCTTAAATCTCCTAACATTATACATTTCTATATATTTTTATTACATTGACCTTTCAGCCATGCCTGGCTAAAATTTTAGAAGTTGCAATGATGTGGCACACATGTTACTGTATCCAAGAATATAAAACTGACCTATCATGGCTGTGTTTTAATGGACTAGTATTTTGGAAAATACAGTCATATTTCAGTTATACATGTATATACATTTTTCCTATTTACAAATAAGTTATCAAATTTCAGTTATTTTTTTTTAAAATAGAACAGTACATAAAGAATTATAGAATACAATGATCTCTTCTAGTCACAAACATTGTACTCGTTTCCTGCTTGCCATAGGTTGTTAAGCCTTATCAAATTTCTCACATGGAGAATGTTAAATTATTTTAAATATATATATATATATATATATACATTATCAAGCTCAGTAACTAAGGCTGTATTTGGGTCTAAACAATATGAAATTTCGAGATCACTAAAGTCTTACCTTATCTCTTGAAACCTATGAAAAGAATGAGTTTGCCACCCAAATATTTCAAAAAGGCTGGGAAAGCCATTAGGGGGATATTCTGAGCTTTTGATTGGTTATTCACACATCATAGACAGAAGTAGGTGTAAGTAAGCAAGTCTTTCCAAAATTGGAAAGAGGTGGGAAAGGTCACTGTGATTGATTCAGTAAATGTAGCAATATCTTAGCAAATAGAAAAAATAGGAGATTCTTATTTTAGATTCTAGCTTTTTAATATCAGTAATTTGAGTTCCTAATTCATTAGAAACTATAAACTTATATTTGGACACCACAAACATCTAATCTGAATCAACTGCATTCAACATACCCATGTGACATACAAACCTTGATATTTAGGAATTTTTTTAATATTTACTTTTAAATTAAGAAATTAACTAATGTATTTGAATTATCATCTACAATTTGATACCAAACTTATTCACAAAAATTCATAAAATAGTAGTTCAATAAAATTTTGAAAGTGATTCTACAAATGAAATGACATGGCCTTTGACCAGTGACCACAGGAAGACCCCTATAGATTGGATTAACACGTCCTCAACACACACAAGTTACCAGCAAAAATACCTTAATACAGATTCACATGATGAAGTTTCTCTGGTGTAAAAATACCTAGCATCAGCTTATTTACATCACTTACAGAGTTACCAACAGATATACATTAACACATCTTTACACAAGATAGTTTTTCTGGTGTAACATTACCTAACATCAGCTTATTTACATCAGTTACACAATTGCCAACAAACATACCTTAACACACCCTCACATAAGGAAGCTTCCCTGGTGTAATAAATATCACCGAGCATCAGCTTATAAACAAGCATACCTTAACATATCTTCACATAAAAAAGTTTCTCTAATGGAATAATACCTAGCATCAGCTTATAAACAAACATACCGTAACCTTCTCCAGACAGGTCACAGGTCAAAGGCCATGTCATCACCTTTGTTAACTCGCATTCAAAATTTTATTGAACTACTATTTCATGAAGTTACATGAATAAGTTTGGTATCAAACTGTAGATTGTAATTCAAATTTTAGTTTTATACATTATTTAATTTCTTAATTTAAAGTAAATATTAAAAAACATAGTTAAACATCAATTTTTGTATGTCATGTGGTATGCAGCACTGGTTCAAATTAGATGTTTGTGATGTCAAAATACTAACTCTATAGTTTCGTACGAATTAGGAAATCAAATTACCGATATTAACATCCTAAAATATAAAATCGGAATCTAATATCTTTTCTATTAGTTGAGATACCACTCATGCACTGAATCAAACAGTAGCCCCACTCACCTCTTTCCATTTTTGAAACTGTCCCTTATATACACTTACTTTAATAATGCTTATTTCAATATATGACATGTGAATAACCAATCAAAAGCTCAGAATCTCCCGTAGTGGGTTTCTCAGCCATTTTAAAGTGTCAGGATGCCATCTCATTCTTTTTTTACCAAGATTTCAAGACAGTAGGTTGTATCTAGTCTGTTCAAATTTCATATTTTTTTTAGACAGAAATACAGCTTCGTTACTAAGCTTGATAAATTATTGTGGAATTCTATGGTATCAATATGGTAATTTATAAAATTATGCAAAATTTCTTAAGGCTGAGCAAGCTACGACAAGCAGCAGCCAAGTACAAAGGTCATAACTAGAAGAGATAATTATTTGCTTTACTTCTTTATTTACCGTTCTACGTTTTAAGAAAAATAAGTTTAAGAACTTATTTCTAAATAGTAATAATTTACATACATATATAATGTATAATAATGTAACTGTGACTGTATTTTACAAAATACTAAACTACTAAAATACAGCCAGACAGGTCACTTTGTAAAGACTAAAGGTCAGTTTTATATTATTGGATACATGAGAGCATGTGTGCCACATCATTGTAACTTCTGTATTGTTAGACAGGCATGGCTGAAAGATCAATATAATAAAAATAACAAACATATATAGATGTATAATGTTACGAGATTTAACCTATGTAGTCTAAACATTTTCTTGTTATAATTTGTAGTCATTCTAGAACAAAAGAGGCATAATTTATATTTATTTCCTATTTTTTTCTGGTGGTTATGAGATCAGTCAAATCTACCAAACCCATACAGTTTTTTTCTTAAGAAACATTTGATAACTATCTGGACATTAAGGATTTTGCATGTGAAATTTTTCTGATGCATCAAAGTATTTTAAATCTTAAAATGAAAATTACTTTGTATGTTGAATAGGCAACATGCGAAAAGTAAAAAAAAGGCATGAGAAAAACATTGCTTAAAAACCCTTAAGACTTCATAAAAAAAAAATTATATTTTGCATATGAAAGCATTGTAATGTTTACTGATAATCTGCCAAATTTTGTTATCATATGCTTACTAATTTAAGTTATAGCATGAAAACTATAACAAGCACAAAATGGATATACGAAAATGGCCCAAAAGACTGAGCTCGTGCTGAAAGAGTTAACACATCTTTACATGAGAAAGTTTCTCTGGTGTAATATCACCTAGCATCAGCTTATAAACAAACGTATTTTAACACATCTTTACATGAGGAAGTCTCTCTGGTGTAATATCACCTAGAATTAGCTTATAAACAAACATACCTTAACACATCTTCAAACGAGGAAGTTTTTCTGGTGTAATATCATCTAGAATTAGCTTATAAACAAACATACCTAACACATCTTAACATAACTTATCTTTAATTCTGCTAGCTTCTTTATATAAATTAATGAACATGTAACAGAATCCCAAGACTTACCGTTAACTCTGCTAGCTTCTCTATATAAACTAATTAACTTTTAAGAGAATCCCAAGACTCACCTTTAATTCTGCTAGCTTCTCTATATAAACTTTCTTAGGTTGATCTTCTCCTTCATCATACAACCAATTTTCTGTATCTTCTAACATACTTGTTATTGTTCCTTTATCCTAGTGTTTAAGTAATAAAGTTCTCAGTCAACATATTTTACATGCAGTGACACAAATTCTGTATTACTATCTAATTGTTATTGAAATCAACACCAAAATCTCATTCCCAAGCTAAAATGAAAAAGAAAGTCAAGTGACCTCCCCATCACACATTACTGATGTCTAATACACAGAGTTGAGTAAATTTTTCTAAAAATTATTTTGAATATGCAAATCTGCAGGTTATGTAAAAATCACAGCCATAAGTCAAAGTAGAAAAGAATGCACGAAGACTACAATTTGACACTGTTTGGTGTTTCGTGGGTAGTCTTATGCCACTGAAAATCAATAATATTAGCAAGTGTATAAAACAGCTCATTCCAAAACATAATATTCATACACTTAGATAATAAAGATTTGTTCACATCAGGTATTTGGAATTTACAAGACAGTGATATCCCTTCAGTTTAATGACATTGGAAAACAAAAGAATATGGATTAACCCTGGACATTAGGAATATCCAGAAAGAACCCTGCAATAAGTTGTATCCCAGCTTTGGTATGCAATGTGTAGCCTTGTAATGGGTAAGAATCTAAACACAAAAGCAAGTGGTAAAAGCAATCTTCTTATCCCAGGCAAATATACTAAAATAATCAAGATGGATCTCTATATCCTGTGATCACAAGTTACATCCACACCATATCCATTCAGCCAACACAAATGTAAAGATGAAAAATGAAATGAGTGTTGATGCATCCCATATGAAGACATACCAGTCAACAGACTGAATGCCTATGGATTTCTGTGTAATTAGACTGTTACAACAGGAGCAGAAACAGTCATCCATGTACACTGGATGCATTATAGAAAAATACAGTGAGGGTGGATGTGCTTTGGACATGACTGTCTTATTTCCAGATACTTCTACAATGGAAACTACGCTGCAGGGCTAACATCGAAATGCAAAGTTGTCAAATATAGCATGGCCGTATGTGGTAAGGCTCTTTAAATTGCTTTAATATAATACAGTCAACCTCCAACGATTATACGATATTAAATAATTCTGCCATGAAAAACTGCAGAATATTAAGCTGTAATGGCACCTTCCTCAACACTTTAAATATAAATAAACAACTTTCTGTAGGAATTATATAATGATATTTTTTGAAATTACCTTTGAAAAAACAGTGCCAAGAACTTCAACACTATTTTTACTACTGTAATAAATTATATTAAATTACACTAAAAAATTTGCAATTACATACAGAAAACAACATAGACAAACTGAAGGAGGAGGCCATTACCTGTTCAGAAACAAACTTTTCCAGTTTTTCATACAACTGTCCTCTCATTTCATATACATATTCTTCCACACCATTCTTAGCATCCACTTTTTCTTTTTCCATTTTATCTTGTTGGATCATTTTAGCCTGGAGATCAATTCAAAATCAGTTCATAATAAAAACAACTTTACTATGCAAGTTACTAAATGTGTCATTCTTAAAAAACATTTTTTTAATGTGCGAGTAATTTCTCATTGATGAAAAAATATCACTTAGTGGTAGGTGAGCTGATAGATCTCTTAAATTGGACTTTACCCTGCAAAGCATGTCAAGTCAGTATTTTATATTTTGAAACAGAATGAATTCAAACTATAAATAATCTTAAACACTAAATTTAAGTATGTTTTAAATATCGCTGAAGTATAATTTTATTATGTGGCACCAAGTTGTATTTTATAAATCTAATAAAAAATTAACAGAAAAAAAAACAGGAAGGACTACAAAAGTAAGGCCATTTTTACAGGGCACATTATCTTAAAAAGCTTTAGAACTTTAACTGTTTTCCTTGATATTTTTATTGCTAACAAAATAATGGCAAGTTAAGTTTCATATCATAATACCCTGTATAACTAAGAATGAAATGAGCATCAGAAACATTATTACAGTGAACAATTTTTTTTTTTAATGATTTACATTTTGACATTTAAACAAAAAGACATGCATTATTTTAGAAAATGACTGTTTGGTACAAATTTAAATTTTATGATATGCATTGTTATTTATTTCAACATAATATATTAACCACATAATGAATATGATTAATGAACATTTCCATCTACTCTGCCTCATCAGCTGGCAATTTATTTATAGTTAATTGAATTAGAAGTTTTACATCCATTCCCCCTTTCCTTAAATAGATGCAGTCCACAAAAACATCATATCTAGGTGAAGTGTTCACTGTATTCTGTTTGTTATTTTACTGTCCTCAACTCACTATGAAGTGTATATGTGTGTGTGTGTATGTATATACAGGTCTCCCACGTTAGCTAGGTACCAAATACATCAAATGAACACAAAGACCATGATGCAAGAAGGGAAAAGATAAAGTACTACAGGAAAATCTTGAGGCAGATTGATTATTTTACTATTTTTATCTTGTATGTGAGTAAGACATTAGCAAATTCAAGGAAAAATTAATATGGGGAATGAATGTAAAAATTCTGTTTAACATCTTGTTACACATCATTCTGAATATACCCATTTTGAATTACATCTTAGTAATACAAACAGTACATTACACACTATGCTGAATGTACCTTATTGTTTTATATATATATTAATATTATTACACACCATACTGAATATAATCATTTTGTTTTACATCTTAATATTGCACATAATACTGAAAGTCCCTATTATTTTTACATCTTAATATTACATGCTACTCTGTATTGGAAGCACTAATTTATACAGAATCCTTTTTTAATTTCAATTATGCATACTTATTACATTAAACTCACCTCTGTTTCAATCAAATCATCAAGTTCTTTCTGAGGAAGCTGATATACTACTGATTCAATAGGCAGTTCTACTGACTTTACTATCTTCTTCTGCTTTTTCTGTTCCTTCCTCTCAGAATCCTTAACAGAGAGTGCAATAAAATATTTGTAAATAATGACAGAAAAAACAACAATCACGCTATTATTGGTAGAAAGAGTAGCAAGATGTCTGAGTTAGAAAAAAATTACACTGTTATTGGTATGAAGATGTGGGGGTAAAAAACAGTTATGCTATTGGTCGAAAGAGAAATGAGATGTGTGGAAGAACAGTAACATTATTATTAATAGTTAGCTTGTTTTTGGAATTTCACACAAAACTACTTGAGGGCAATCTGTGATTTTTGATAAAAAGATAACAGATGTGGGAGGTTACACTATTATTGGTATAAAGATATTCAAGATGTGTGGTGGTTAAAACAGTCATGTTCTTATTGATAAAGATGTGGGAGGTTACAAACAATTAGACTATTATTGGTAGAAAGATATTCAAGATGTGTGGAGGTTAAAACAGTCATGTCCTTATTGATAAAGATGTGTAGGGGTTAAAAGAAGTTACACTATTTTTAGTATAATGGGAATCAAGCTGTATCTGTGAAGCTATACATATGTTATATTTACTATTATTATTAAGTTACAATATGTATCTTTAGAAAATTTTGCAAAATTGTAGTTAACATTACAAGCCTGTTGTGCATAAAAACTGAGATTCTTCAATAACATTTTTGTTAAAGATATATCTGTGAATTTACATAGCCTTTACTGACTGTAGAAAAATCGTCAATGTACATTGCCATGTTGAAAAATAAGAAATAAAATTAACAATATTTTTTTTTCCCTTCTTTGACGGCTTCTTTTTGAGAAATCACAATTTCAACTGCTAACTTTATCACATGTTCTTTAATTTTAAGGTTATATTACCTGTATATTGACCCAACCTCAAAAGGAATAAATCACTATGGAAGCCCATTAGCCATCCATAGTGAACACCATGAGTAAAGTGCATGACCTGTGTGATCTTTGCACTCACAGGCATAGCTGAACTAGGCTTCCTTTTGTTTTCATAAAAATTCATATAGGTTTCAAATATGTATTTCAGAACACAAAAAATATAGCAAGCACAAGAATAAAATGTCACAAAACTACTATAATTTAACTGGCTTTCTCTATAAGCTATAAATAGGTTAAAAAAATTCTGTTAGCTGCTCAGAGATGAACCACAACAATCACAGACACAGAATCTAAGGCTAATTGTCTACATATGTCCACCAAAAAGATATAACTGTAATAAGGTTTTGTAGAGGAGAACATGCTTTTCAATTGGTTATAAACAAGTCTATCGGGTAAGGTCATATGGCTAGATAACTGCCCTGAAAACTATGGAAAGAGGGTAAGGGCTTTTCTGGTTTGACAAACATATGATATCTCAGAAAATTACAAAGGTAGATGGTACAAATTTTGTATTCTTGATTGATTTTATGTATAATTTGTGTTTTTAAATGGCTGGACATTATGAGGGCTACATTTGTGAAGATATAAAATCTATAGAGGGGAAAATTCAAGGCACAGATACATCACATGACACAAATAAGTGTATGTAGTTTTTTTATATATTTCCTTTTGAAATTAAGAAATTCAAACTTAAATAATAAAAAATCTTAAACTATAGACAATGTTCTTTGCCAAATTATTTGCACACATTTACGATAAAGTTTTTTAATTAACATTTGAAAGTAACTGTGAAAGGTCATGATGTACACTTTGAACCATCCATGTGCAGGATTCAAGTTATAACAATAGTGTGTGTGTGTGTGTCTTTACACACACACACACACACACACACAGAAAGTAATATAAGTAACTAAGGAAACACTAAATGAAATAGATATGAAGTGCAAATAATATTGGATTGCTCCATCTTTATAAAAATGAACTGCAGCAGATAGTTTACACTGCAAATGGCTATCATACAACCAATCAGAATGTCACATTGATATAATGCCCATAAAAGTACAGGCAGCCATTACTATTCCCAGCAGTAGTATAGTGATTACACTTATGGTTCCCAGGTTAGAAATGTTCCAGGACAAATGGTAAGAGTCAAATTTTGTCTTGTGAAGGCTACTATGTGACAGATAGTTTTAATAGGAGATGTATGGAAAATCTGAAGAAAGTGCTGAAACTAGACCACTGATAATAGAAGAAATGACCAAAGAGAAGTCCTAACCCTCAAAGATGATGTTAGATAATACAGGATAAGCTCTTAATGTGACATAAGACAACCCCGCCATTTACATTCACCATTTACATCTTTCAACACAGGCTTGGTAGATTTGACCGACCATGTGATCTCTTTGTACGCATTTAAAGTCTTTATGGTTCGATACTAATAACTAGTATCTATATCTTCACAAAATTTGGCAGACTTTCATTAAAATTATGTCTTTCACATACAAAAAAGTGAAATATTTTTAATAAACTAAAAAAAAGATTTGTCCTTGAATATATCAAGTATTTGTTTTTACTAGTCTGAATGCAAAGTGATTTTCATGTTAAGATTAAAAACACTTTTCTTCATCTCAAAAATCTGAAATTTCATTTGCATAATCTCTAAAACCTCCTAAATACATTTCAAATGTTTGTTTTCAGTAAAACTTAATATTTTATCTGTTATTGTCTACACTAACTCTATACAAGGGTGGTAAAAAAATTTAAATAAATCTAAATTACCTTTTTTCTTTCTAGAATGACTTCAAATTGTAACATGAAACTACATTTGTATATCCTAAGTAGCATTAAACTCGTAACAGTATACATCTATTTATAATTAAACTTTGTTGTTTTTTGGGGAACATGCAGCTCACGTTATGCTTTTGAATTACATTATCCACAAGCTACTCCGAGCTTATCTCGTGCATGTCTTGTGAAAAATTTTATTATATTATTACTAAATATTGTACCTAATCTAACATAACTAATCTAAAGAGTTGCCTATTGTTATAGTTTAGTTACTTTTATAATAATTATTATTTAGCCTTGTTTCAACCAATTTACATGGAATTTTAGTACAAAGAAACTTCTCTACAGGCAACACACATTAATAAACACAACTCATTTTTACTAATTTAAGGGGAGTAAAGATGCTAAAAAAAAGCATAATTTTAGGGGTTTTGGACAATTACTCCACCTTATTTTGGCTAATTTACATACGATTTGGTACAAAAATGCTTTTTTAAAGATTCCAAACAGATATAGTAAACGTTTCAGCAAGGAAAGAACTATTTGGGGTTTATGTGAACTATTCATTTGTATGTCAACCATTGGATTTAGTACAAAGATGCCTTCTTGCAGGTCCCAAGCACTGATATAGACCGTTTACAATTCTTTTTCTTCTTTTTCACAACTTTTATGGTGTCAAAATTGGCTATGTTGGGACCGCATGGCATATACATATTGCATTCCCCTGTGAATGTTGGAATGTTTAAATCTTTATTTCCAAACTAACTCATTTACAGAACTTGGATGGTGAAAATTTTATATGGTCAAAATAAATTATACAATAGAATTGTAAGATTAATATTAAACAACAATGCCACAAAGGTGAATATATAACATAGGCCTGCGATGGTTTTATTGTCTTGAAATTGTTACATGTTCTACAGTAATTCCTGTACAATGAATCTGAAAATGATATTACTTTTTCTCCATCATGTACAGATTTTTCACAAAATGTCACATGTATTTTTACACAAGTAAATCATTTTCACTGAAATAGTCACATTTTGTTATGCTTAAAATGTTGACAACCACTGGCTATAGATTTGTCTGGACCAATCACGATGCAAGAGTCTTACTGATCACTCTAGAACCCACAAGAACACACAGCTAGTATATAAACAGTTAACAGGCCACATGACATATCATTTCTGGATAGTATTTGCTTGTGCATGCACTTTGACATTATTTTTTTTCTTTTCAATATTATTTATTCATTCCTATGGCAACAAGAGGTTTAACCCTCTCTCCTCGAGTACCCTTTACTGCATGACACAAGGTTTTAGTCTTGCATTCAAAATGTTATTAAGCTACTTGTTATTAAACTACCAATTAATATAGCATAAAATCTTAGCTAATAATTCATATTTTAATAGTATACAAGTTTTAAGTTCTACAAGGAAATATATAAAACAAATCCTAAATTTCCACATTTTCTCGTAGCATGTCATCATCCCTATTTTATCCATAACCCTTTGAATATGTACGAAATTAAACGTAAAATACTCTCTACAAAATTGTTATTGCTCAAACAGACCATAATTTTTATAGCCTTCAATTTTGTTTGGTTACAGAGCTATCAAATAGAAAATCACACCCCTCCTGCCACACCCACCTGTCACATCCTCTCTTTCACAATTCGTTGATAGTTCTCTCTTACATTTCATGATATATTACCTATAACCAATAGAAAGTCAAGGTTTTCATCTATCAAAAAACATATTGTATAACGTTGTGTTCTGAAGAGATAATCGTCAATACCGCTCCAAGTAGCAACATCATTCCCGTAGGAAAGTTAACGACTGGCTTGGATGAATTTGTAACGGCTCTTAGCATAGTTAGAAATCCAAGAAAATTTTGAGAGGTAAGTGAATTTGTCTACTTTTTGCATGTTATTTAATTAACTAAAAGTTATTAAGTGCATTATTATAATTACTATAAAAAAATCGGGCTTCTGTCATCGACAGTCGAGGGCAAGAAAAAAAGAAGATTGGTTAGATACTTTATTTCTTTTTTTTCATATTTGTTCTTCATTTGTTATTATAAAAGTAACTAAAATCTAAGAATACAGATCTTTTTAAGTTATTTAAGACTAGATTAGGTAAAATAAGTAATAATAATAATAATATAATTAAAATGATTCATGAGGCATGCACGTGAGCAGCTCGTGGGTAATATGATTCGATAGCATAACGTGAGCTGCACGTTCCCCGAGTGATTTACAACTTATAACGACATGGATAGTAGTTAGACACGGTTCAAAGGGCAATAAAACAATAAAATTTAATTATAAATAGATGCATAATGTGACGAACATAGAGCAACTTAGGAAAAACGAATGTAGTTTCATGTTACAATTTGAAGTCATTCTAAAAAGAAAAAAAAGGTTAATTTAGGTTTATTTCGATTTTTTTGGTGGTTACGAGGTCAGTCAAATTGACCAATCCCATTTTAACATACAAACTACAAGGATTTAGTGAAAAAAAAACGTTTGAAATGCATTTAGAAGGTTTTTAGGTATTACACAAAGGAGATTTTAGATTTTTGAGATGACGAAAAGTATTTTTAATTTTAACATGGAAATTACTTGCACATGGACTGGTCAAAACGAATACTCAATATATTTATGGACAAATCTTTATTTTATTAAAAATACTTCACTAAGAAATATGAATTTTTGTATGTGAAAAACTTGTAATATTAACTGAAAGACTGCCAAATTTTGTGAGTATATACCCAATATATTGAGAGTTATAAGTATTAAATGTATATCAATTTTCAACGAGTACAAAAGGTCACGTGACTCGGTCAAATTGACCTACCCCGTGTTGAGAGAGTTAAAAGACCCAAACATATTCTGTTATATTTGTGGTAAATTTGTTGTAAAGAAACAAAGGACAAACATTACAGAATTTGTCAAAAAAGCATATTACACATATTTTGGAATAAAAGTTGGGGACCAAGATAAATCATGGGCTCTGCACAAAGTTTGCACTGTTTGCATCGAATAGTTGAGACAATGGACTAAAGGTAAGAAAAGTCTTTGCCTTTTCAAATTCCAATGGTCTGGCATGAGCCTAGAAACCAGGGAGATGACTGGTATTTTCGCTTATGTAACTTGCAAGGCTACAACATTTGAAATAAAAAGATTTCTTATCCGAACCTTCAATCTGCTACAATACCTGTTGCTCATGGACCTGTATCTACTCCACCGGAGACTCTTCATACAGTTTCATCTGATTCTGAATCTAATGTCAATAAATATGATGATAGGGATTATTTTGATCCTGAAACATCTGGTGAACCACAACTTTTCACACAAGGTGATCTTAATGATTTGGTGAGAGATTTAGGCCTTCCAAAGGATTCTTTGGAGATTTTTGGGTCCAGACCTCGGGCTAAGAACTTACTTTCTCCAGGAACATCATTTTACCGGTACAGAAATCATGAGAAAGATTTATACCATACTCTTTGCAAGAAGGTTCACGGGTTATTGCAACAAAATTGCTGAATGCTAGGAGCTTCAGTCTAAGAAACAAGTGAGTGGCAATTATTCATTGATTCCTCCAAAAGAATACTAAATGGTGTTCTCCTTCACAATGGTAACATATATCCATCTGTTCCTATTGCTCATTCAATTCACTTGAAGAAAGCGTACAAAAATCTGAAACTTCTTATATAAGGTCAAATACTAAGAACATGGTTGCCTACTCTGTGGAGACTTAAAAGTCCTTTGTATGTTGTTGGATCAACAATCTGGTTATACAAAGTTTCCATGTTTTTTGTGTGAATGGAACTGCAGAGCACAAAATCAGCACTGAATAAAGAAGCAATGGTCAAACAGAATCAGCCTGATACCAGGATAAAAAAAACACTGAATGTGAAAGTTTGGTTGACACAAAGAAAGTCCCATTACCTCCACTTCACATAAAACTGGGCTTCATGAAGCAGTTTGTAAAGTCCTTAGACAAAGATGGCGACTGTTTCAAGTATCTAGGTGGGCAATTCCCAGCTCTTTCGGAAGAGAAACTTAAAGAAGGGATTTTTGCTGGGCCTCAGATTAGGAAATTGACTTCGGATGAACAGTTCGAAAGGACAATGAGGAAAGTTGAAAAAGAAGCATGGATTGCCTTTAAAGAAATTATTAACAAAGGCCAAAATTACGAAAATATTGTCAATAACATGCTCGATAAACCCAAAGAGTTGGATTGTAATATGAGCTTGAAAGATCTTACTCACATATTGACTGTTTCCCCGAAAATCTTGGTGCAGTCAGCAAAGGACAAGGAAAAAGGTTTCATAAAGACATCAGGGAAGTGGAGAGAAGGTATCAGGGAAGGATGATAGCTGATTACTGCTGGTTATTGAAACAAGACACTCCAGACACAATACATAAAAGATAGACCACAACATGTAGTTTTGGGGCTAAAAGATGTAATTTCACCAAAAAATCAGGATGAATGAGGATACATATTTGTTTGACATCAATGTTCTTCCCTTAACTTCAGTTTGATTGCATTTTTGTTAACAAAATCCTTATGTAATAGAAAAAATTAATATTATTTTCAAAATCTGCATAGCTGAATTATGGAAAATCCATTATTAACACTAAAACAACTTTTATGAAGTTTAAATTCTCAGGCCTGTGTAATTAATGTAATCTTGGAGAAAGAAGAGAAAAACTCACAGCCACAAAACAAACATCCAACACACCAGGGCACAAATCATAAGGTGGGTCATTATGTAATGTGCCCTAATTATTTGAGGTACCAGCAGAAGTAAGATCCAAATTGGGTTGGGGATACACTGTCTGTCCAGTTTAACCTCATTTTCACCAGCCTCACATGCTTAGAAGAGAGAAGAAAAACGAAAAAAGGAGACGATGTGGGTTTTTCTAGCATACAATGTCATTTTTACCATCTTTTGCTGTCTATATCCAGATGTGGGAAGGTGGTTGCTCACAAAAAATAAATAAATAAAATAAAAACAATAATAAGAAAGAAAGAATTAGAATACAAGACATCAAGGGGGAACCCAACAAAATGTGGTAAAAATGTGGGATGTTGTGGGCTAGAGCACCCACATCTGCTCCTGTTTTCTTCTTCTCTTCTAAGCATGTGAGTAGGGCAAAGTTCATGTTCAACTCAAAAGACAGTGTATCCACAATGCAATTTGGGTCTTATTTCCACAGGTACCTCAAATAACTAGGGAACATTACATAATTGTATATTTGTTTTGTGGCTGCATTTTGTTTTTCTCTTTCCCTCTCTCTTCAGAAAATTACAACAGTTATATTTCATCTAAGGTTTGTATATGCTGTGCAAAATTCATGATATTCTCCCTTTTGATGTAATCTGTTTTAAAAACTTTTTTTAATCTTTCTTAAATAATCAGTATGTGTGTGTGTCTGTCTGTCTGTGTAAAAAGTAAAAACTACATACTCTGATTGTTTCACTAGCTTGCTGAGAAGAGTCAGAGTTCTGGATTGTATTCTGAAAATAAATATCAGTTAAACATAAATTATCAATCAAAAATGTGACAAAAACATGATAAAATCAATGGGTCAAAAACAAGTTATTAATCTGGAACATAATAACAGTCTTTTGAAAATTAGCAAGAGCTGAAACTTGAAGGACAACTTATCACCTCAAAATATTGATTATTCAATCTTGAAAAAAATCAAAGAGTTGGAAGAAAAGTTATCAATCAGTAACAGTCAAGTGACGAGTTGGAAAAACAAGTTATCAATCAGTAACAGTCACGTGACGAGTTGGAAGAAAAGTTATCAATCAGTAACAGTCACGTGACAAGTTGGTAAAACAAGTTATCAATCAGTAACAGTCACATGACGAGTTGGAAAACAAGTTATTAATCAATAACAGTCACGTGACGAGTTGGAAAACAAGTTATTAATCAATAACAGTCACGTGACGAGTTGGAAAACAAGTTATCAATCAGTAACAGTCACTTGACGAGTTGGAAAACAAGTTATCAATCAATAACAGTCACGTGATGAGTTGAAAAAACAAGTTATCAGTGAGTAACACTGTACTATAAAAATCAAGAGCTGAAAAACAAGCTATCAGTCAGTAACGTTAGTTAAAATGTACACAATGTGTTGTACTTGCATTAAAATTTACACAGTGTTGTACCTATGTTAATTAAAATCTACAATATCTGTTGTTCTTCATTAAATAAAGTACAGGTTATTAACAAAAGTTAGATTTGAGTCTTTTTTTTATACAGGATATCTCACCTTTAATTAACGTAACTTCTAAACTTTACACAAAAGATCAACTTACTTCTTCACAATTCTGGTGAGCTTCAGCCTTCCCAGCATCATTACAGGATGGCTGATGTTTTCCCTTACTAGCATCCATCTCCATATCAGTTTTTGGAGAGTTCACCTGCTCATCTTGAGTTTTATTTTCCATCTCATTCTGTTCATTTTCTTCCATTGTTTGCTTTTCTAACATACTTGCAGAGCATACAGAGAAAATGCCATGGATGTTTACCCTCACTTTAACTTTGATCTTTGCACTTTCACCATCACTTGAGGAAGTAACCCTCTGTATTGTAAATTTACCTACCAATACAAAACAATTTCAACATAACAATAACATCAGCAAAATGCAGAAATATACTCTTAAGCAATGTTGTTTAGAACAAATATCATTATTCATTCTTATAACACTTCCATTTTGTTCTGCATATTCTAATTTCAATAAACATTGAGACGAAATCCCATAGTTTATAATATATGAAAAATTACACCCTTCTTTACTAGTTATTTTGATCAAGTCAGTAACATTGTTACAACACCAAATTCTCTGAACACTAAACCACAATTCACTCTTCTCAACAGGTGGATTATATCAAGCTAATATCATTGTTACCACAACAAATTCTCTGGCCACTAAACCACAGTTCAGTTTTCTCAACAGGTGTTTACATCAGGCCAGCAATGTTACTACACCAAATTCTCTGAAAACTCAACTACAGTTCACTAATCATTTTAATCAGTCTACTATCATTATTTCTACAGTTCACTAATCATTTTAATCAGTCTACTGTCATTATTTCCAAAATTTAATCATTTTGAGCCTCAGAAACATTCATACTGACTAGTGATTTCAATCATCTAGTGAAGCAATTGGGTATTTTAAGTAATTTTTACAATTGCTTCAGTGTTAAGAAAGAAAGTAAAGAAATGGCATAAGTAAGGACACCTGTATTGCAAAATTAGGTCAAGAGGTAGGCAAAGCATAGTTAGCTTGTGAGTTAGTATTGAGAATCAAGAGTTAAAGAGTTATAAAAAATAAAATTAATGCCTAGCACCCCAGTAAAAACGCTGAGAAAAATGCTAGTCACGAATTTGCCAGTGATAAGTTACTGATGCCAATCTAGTGATACAGTAAAGGCAATCAAAAAGCTTATGATAGTAGCTAAAACCATTGCTTCGATGTAGGAATCATTACGACATACTGGAGGAGTAGTATAAGCAAGAAGGCAACTGAAGCACCCACCATCACAGTGACCAATTACTTGAGAGTTTTGGTTCTTGTTTAGAAAATGCCCAATGAGTTGTAGAAATTAGCCAATGAAGTATCAGAACTACTTGCGGGTAGTTAAGTATACTACTTGGAAACTCTTAAGAATACAGAGAAAATATTGTATAAAAACGTATGTCTGGAGCTGAAAAAATCAGTTCTTCAGCTCAGAACAGTAGTTCTCTCCAGGACAAATCCAGTGTTAGTAGTGACCGGCCTCTACATTCTAAAATGATGAAGTTATCCAATTTACAATGGAACACTTCCTTACTTTCATGTAAGTAAAATTGCTATTTCTCTTGTTCAATCAGTGTAGTTTAGGATAAGATAGTAAAGCAATTTATATGGAGCAAGTTAATGTGTGTAATAGATTTGAATATCTCTTATTTGAACTATACTGTCGGTAATGATTAACTTGACAGTTTGATTATTGAAGAATTAACTACTTGTTAATAGAAGGGTGTATATTATATGCAAAAATTTAAATAAAATTGATGTATTTTGTGAAACCCCAGTCTCAGAATTGTTTTCTTTAGTCTAACTGTAAATCTCCTCCACTTAGCAACTTGTGAGCTCCACTCACCACTGCATTTCTCAATTTCGTGTAATTGGCAGTAAAGTCGAAGCTCCAATGACTAGCCCTAAGGGCACAGCCCATTACATAGTAGAATACCATAAGAACCCTCTAAATACTAAATTACTATTTCACTGAAATTTTGCAAACAAATAATTAATGTATTAGAGATAAGTGTGTTCAGAAGTCATGTTAACTTCCAAGACAAGTCTTACATTAGATCTACAAACCTATAATTAACCTATCAGAGACAGAGTTCAGAAGCCATGTTCACATCCAATACAAGTCTCACATCAGAAACAACAAAATGCAGACAGTGCTCTCACCAACAAGAAAACCTTGAAGGTTTAGGTTCTGTTTACAGTTGCTTCATGCTGCGAAACCAGCAGTGTTCTAATGTGATACGCTTGTCGTTCAGAGAATGGATTACGATTTTCATCATGACTCTGTTACCAGATTATAATTATACTAGGCAAAACAAGCCTGGTAATAACACTTTGCAAGTGAAAATGTAACTAGCATAGGTAATATTAAAATTCATTTTATTACCTTTCATTCATGATAAAGATATATTTCTAAAAGCAAATAACTGGAAAAAAACCCAAACTGTTGTCAAAACTATCAATAATTTCTATATTTTAATTTATTTATTTTTATATACATAGTAACACTCCACAAGAATTATACCTGATGGTTCTGATTACAGTGTAAATAAACTGTATATTCCCTAAATCCATTATGGTACTAATTACAGTAAAAGAAAACCTACACGTTCCACTCCATTAACTCTCTCGCTACAAGCTTGACCCAATTGGCCAAATTTGTGACCCAAAATTGACCAATATATTTTTCATACTATAACTTCTAATAGGTTTTGTGTACCTTCACCAAATTTTGCAAACTTTTAGTAATCACAAGTAAAGAAAAACTTTTCAAAAAAGGAAGTAAATGTATAAGTGACTAATATCAATTCTTCAAAAACAATGCAAACAAGATAGCAGGGATGGCATTTGCATCATCCTTACATAATAGCACAGGCACACAGTGTAGTAGAATGTTAACAGACAAAAATAGGATATATTAACCTCAATTGTGATTGAATAGTTATATATATATATATTGCTATATGTTAATTCTTGCCTGTACTATTATGTAGGGATGATGCAAATGCCATCCCTGCTATTTTGTTTGCATTGTTTTTGAAGGATTGATATTAGTCATCCTTGCATTTACTTCCTTTTTTTGAAAAGTTTTTCCTTTACTTGTTTGCTTGTTTTTTTAATGCACTGTTTCAATACACATAGGAAGGTTGTATTTATAACCAAGTACTAAATAAAATGAGGTTCCAACTGTAATATTTAGTTTATCTATTATTGGCTGGTAATTCCTGTTTACCCTGTACTTAAGCTTTTTAACTCTCTTTAAATAGGCTCGGTTGCATTGACCAGCCACGTGAACACTTTGTACTTGTTATAGTTTTGATACTACTAACTTTTAATATAGTATATGTATCTTCACAAAATTTGGCAGACTATCAGTAAACATTACAAGTCTTTGACAAACAAAAAATCAGGTCTTTAGTGACAGAGATGAAAGTGTCCCTTTCCTAAAAATCCTGAAAAAAACCCAAGCCAAGTAGGGGG